TATATATATATATATATATATATATATATATATATATATACCACCAATCTTTACAGATACAGCGCGAAAATAACCATGGGTGAACGAAAAAATATAGGTAGAAAAGCGGGATAATGAAACAGTCAACTTCGGGGGGTATCAATTTTTTTGTTTGTTGACTGCAGGTCATTTTGAGATAATTTATTTCGGCTTCGTTTATTTTTGGGATCGCAAACAGGAGAGGATGCTTCCGCGCCACTGACTTCGGTTTGGTACCATATCCCACAGCGTCTCCAGCCAAAGACAGTCTGAATCTTTGGGGCCCCAGACGGGGGAGCCGGGAAACCCCAACAGAAGCCAGATTCGAGCCCAATCTTTTCAACCCCCTGCGCCACGTCACAGCCTGCCAACCTCGCCGTTTCTTCTAGCCTGGACCGATGTCTGCGAATAGTGTGCGGTGTGGCAGACGTTGTTCATGCATTCGTAGGACGTGCCCTAGCCAACTAAGACGATGCTGTGAAATTATTTTGCTCAAAGGAAGACTATCTGGTCCTAGCACCAGTCGTCTGACTTCATCATTATTCACGCAATGCTCCCACCATATGTCTGGGAAGCTTTCTCTTAACATCTGCACGCAACAATAACACGCCTAACTTAACGCGGACTGGTGTGGCCAGCCAGTTCAAGTTTCGGAGTTTAGGTTACCGGCTTCCATAATAGAAAAGATCCTCGTGACTATATGGCTTACTTCGTCAACTATTCACCACATAAATGTGTGCTATTAAAAAATGTACGAGAACTCAGTTGAAATTGTTGTCTCCAGTGACCCTACCTTGAGATAAAGGTACAAACGACATGAGTCACTCAAATAACATGGGAAATATATTCGCTGTATAGATTCACTAATAAAACATAAAAAGGACTCTAGAAATTTCTAATATTCTGTGCATTCGCACCGAGGCATTGATAATTTGAAACGGTAGTATGCTAGGATGTGTCTAGTTCAGTTCAGTTTGAACAACCATTAACCACGCATATTCGAGCGCCGGTTTTGGTTGCTGTCTTTTGGCCACCCATTTGGATGAAGAATAGAAGAAAGGATGCGTCTACAGGGGACAGAAGTCAAATAAAAATGGAATATATGTGGGCTTACCGGAAACTTTGCGTTTATGACCAGGACGAAAAGGTGGTGAAACCGCAACGCGAGGCCACTGGAACAGGTTTCTAATCTGGCTGAGCAACAAGACCACTTTTATTCTGAATGTTGAGCCAAAAGAAGTCAACATGCGCCATGGTGCTGTGAACTTTTCTGATGCGGTAGTGTTTACAGACGGCCCGGAACGCACAACGGTGACCGGATTCGGTTGATCTGTGGATAATGTGTTCAGCAGATTCGGCGAAAACAGTAATTGTGGATCGCGTACCAGCGATGAGCTGGGATATTGTGTATTCAGATCGGAGAGCTGGAAAATGGTGCGAGGTTAGGAAAGATGTGTAGCTAGAAATCGGAATAAAACTAAGGGAGAAAATGCAAACAACGGTATGAGCGGGATAAATTGTACGGAGTAAGTGAACTTGATTGTACCACAAGAATGACCGTATCACATAGACGAATTGGACTCCCGGCGGGTTAGTTTACAAACGTAGCGTTGGAATATTCAGGTAAAACATGATAGGCTAAGGATCCCATTTGCCCACTATTACGTGATGCACGGTAGAAGAGGTAAAACCTTAAAATCATGAAGATCTACCGTTAACTTATGGTAAGCGAAATCCCAAGCCCTGGGACATCGAGTGTCAAGCCACAAAAGGATCTAACAGGGAAGGTACGATATTGAAGCGTACAAAAGTGAAGTTGGGCTATGGTGCAAACCTCATAAATTGAGGACCCGGAAAACGTTAGACAACAACATAAACTGCCAACCACAGAAAAATTTTCCAAACAAGTTATTCGGCTTGCTTAGCCTATATGAGCAGCGAATACTAGAAATAATCGTATATTAGCATACTGATGGGGATCCACTAAGCATTACCAAGCAAAATGACCTCGACATTAAATTCAGCTTCGGGATGAGCTAGGAAATTCGAACTGCTAACATGAGCCTTTGAGAAATTACAGAACTTAAAGGGTGAATAGAGAAAAGAAAAATTATTGCTATAAGAATCCTGATCAACAAGAGTTCCTTTTTAACGAGAGACAAATGCGATGCAAGGTACGAAAAACTGAGGAGAAATCACTTATTCTACAATACGAGTGATTTGACTGAACCCGTCGTCCTACCATCACTGCACGTAGTTATCACATTAGGTATTATGCAAAATGCGTCACACCCATATGACCGAGCTAAAAATTCCTTGAAACAATAAATGAAGCTTGTAGAATAGCAAGAGAAGCCAAGGATCATGGAGATAGAAATTATTAGCTCACCTCCATGCGCCGAATGTCGATTGACAAAACAGATACGAAGAAGAACAATTGCAGGAAGAAATCGGTAGTAACACCGACCACGGCAAATAGACAGAACTCTTGCATGGTCGGATGAAAGGTGAAAAATCCCAGTCCAAGAAGAACAAATTGGGTCACGTAGTGTTTTGTCAGGGGCCAGCTTTCTTTACTCAATCCTATGCAATTACGGTGATGGGGAAAATGATATAAAGTTTCATAAACGGAGTAATCCAGAAAAAATCTAGTGATTGCAATGCTGCGAGTATGTTACTACAACCCGATCAATAATCTCCTCATATTGCCATGATAATAATCTATTCGGTGTTGAGCATTCTGGCAGCAACGCGTCTATGTGAAAGGCGTATTGATTTCTTTGTCATAGATATTCTAGCACCGCGGTCGTTTGGTGAACACCGCAGACCAACAATAGCAACGATAATAATAATAACAATCTAGTGATCGAAACGGAGAGGTGGCGATATATGGGTGCTGGTTACTTTTTCAGCTCCGATAGAGAATCTCGGGGTTCAGTTGTTTGTCGAGGTTGAAAACCGTTCCATCGTCTACGGAGATCACATTCTGCAGTCAGTCTTGAGAATGTTGACTCGGTCGTTGCTAAAACATTGACAGTTTAATAGCCAAGCTCGACAATGATCTGACTATCAACATATTCTAAATTAAACTATAAAAACAACAGCCATGCTCAATTCGATTGCACATAAATAAATTCAGCATGCGGTGAAGGAAGGATCTCCTAAGGAGAGAAACTCATAGCCACTATCCATAAGACCATACCAAATACATGTGAAAAATCCAATCGGCTCATCCGAACAAAATACATTGTAAAACCAACATAATTGTTTACAATATTGTCCTACACATATCTTTTCATACATTCGTTCTGATGATCGAGGACCGATAACTTAATGAAAAAATAGACTGAGTTAAGGATCATGTAAGCCATGGTACTTGAGGGCACAACAAACAAGTCACTTTTGCAAGCATAAAAACAAACAGTCCACCATAAATTATTCGGTCTAATCCCGATAAAACCCATGGTCTTTAGGTCAAATGTAGTAACAATATAGAATACGATATATAATTCCAAGGAATGGTGTTTTTATCGCATTCTTCGCCGGTGCTACTTGGACTAGGAAGAGACAGTAATCCTGTAATGCCATGCGTGTAGCCAAGGCCCATAAAACAACACAAGATGGCCTTTCCCATTCGTACATCAAACTGTCTTGAATACCAGTTGATAGGCTTGGATGGTTGAAGTGTTAGTGTGGCTGTGTTTCACCTCCAACATGTAAAATGCTGTTACATTATTAGGTCGGTTCAGCTCCAATATCCAATCAAACAGAAAACGTTATTGATGAAGTGGATAGATTTTGCCAATTGGATGATGACACCACATAAATCTCGTGCTAATTTTCGGCAAGCGCACAAAAAAACTGGAATGTTTAATACATCTCTGATGAGGATGTGACATTCGGCCGTTTGCTAGCGATTTCGTCTATGCTACAGAACTTCGACTTGAAAATTTGAAAAACAATGGCTAAAAATTTGGAAAAGCAACATTCGTCTATGCAATCCACACCTCTTGGTACACAAGTGGAACACAACACCAATCCCGAATGCATACCTTGAGCAATTCGGTACTTCACCGGTAAATCGATCGGAGTAGCGACTACCGATTTGGTAAGAATGATGACGTTCTCAAATCCAATAAGAGCAACGAGATACGGAAAAATTTCACTGAATGGGACGAAACGAATGAGAATGAAACAATTAGGTAAGTGATGAGATTAACTTGAAGTTGAAAGAAGGAGACACAGGATAAATATTTTTTCATTTTAGGGGGCCATGGATACATGCAACGGAATTGTGGTGATTGTGTATAAACTGAACATTCTTGTTTCATTACATGATCGATTGCTTTGTACAATTTCGGCGCGTAATACAATCTGACTTCGAATATTCTGGAGTTCTATTCCATACTGCGTACTAGTTCGGTTGGAGCTTAATTGCGCGGATTATTGCGGTTCAATTCCTGATACCAAATACAGATTACCACATTTGGCGTCGCGGCCGGT